GTCTATCTCGCCTCAGTCGACAACAATACCACGTACGAACTCGCGAAATGTCTATGCCTCCATCGCCCGCAACAACCGTCCCTCTGGTCTCACCACGTACTGTGTGCACGGTACAAGTTCCGGTGACACCAATACGCTTCCAACGGGAGACATCCGCACCGCCCATGCAACATTATATGACTAGTCATCATTTACGTGTTGCTCCAAGACAAACCACACCACCGGTTCAGTTTACCGTCTCCCTACCAAGGAAGGAACGTTCACTAAGTCGTACAGAGGTAAGATACCTGATAATAATCATTTGAATGTGGCTCGGGAACGAGTTTCAAATACGTTTCCCTCTGTTATGAAACTTATGCATGAATGATGGTACAAGGCTGAGTTAATGAACTACCGAGTGATCATCCTTAGATCCTAAGTTCGAAACCCATCACCGCATTCTGTTTTTCCTTTCGTTGTTTGGACTTATATACCTTCTCGAATATTCATTGCGTTTAGTTTATATCAATTAAACGGAAGTGAAAACCAGTCGGTTTTCATGTAGGTTTGAAGGGGAGCAACGATTCTAACTGATTCATAATCCTGAGGGTATCCTTGCGTTTGTAATACCATTCCATGTAGACAACTATCCCAAGGGATGAAAGGAACATCATTCAGGCTGGTTGACTTGCGGAGGAATCGGGAATATAGGAAATTTTATTGTTGGTCATTTAGTGGGTATAGGATGTAAAGTTAAGTTAAAGCATGAGCGACGTTCGTATACGGTTTCCAACCTAGGCTGCTGAGCGTGTCACAATCCAAACTTGAAACTGTTTTCACTCATTTTCCCACTAAATTACATAATTTGAACAACAAACTCTCAAACTTTATTCGTCAGAGTTCGGTGGAAAACGTGCCAAGACAGACAACCCAGCTTATGAAAGCAATGAGAACTGTTTTTATCGTCCCGCAGCTCAGCTGGTAGACCGTTCTCTGTACAAAATCGTAGGTGGCATAGTGCGCATAAAAGCAATAGCTACCACAGAAGCGTTAAGCCTTTACCTTTGAGTCGCCAAATCGCCTCCCCCACCTAGGCCAATTCAAGGTTCGAATTGACCCTGGTCTCTATTATTACCACCACGACTCCAACTGTTTCTATTCCGCACGAACACAACAAATCCAGACGAGCCATTTGAAGCGGGGTTCCCCATCATCTGTCCCGAATAATCTTTTGATCAAGTGTCAAGACGCCCTATACTGACTTCGACCCGTTATATGAACTCTACAGAATTATAATTCATTGAACACATATGTTCATTTTCTGAAGGATCACGGATTTACTGATTATCATTCGCAATACATTCGAAACGGATAACTTCTCTCTCACACAATCTAATTGTGACAATTAAACGAAAACGCTAGGAGTTGCACTATTAGAGAATACTGTCTAAGTCACAATACTTTCGTTTCCCCCATCTCCTTCTTGTCCAAATGATACCTAGATTCATCGTACTTTGGAGAGTCGTATTCCATTGAAACCG